GAAGATGAACTAGGGTTTTTCATAAATTGGAAGTCTTCTGTCTATTCATCTTTCTTTCTTTTCGATTTCTTTGTCGCATTTTTTTATTTTTTATTTTAAAAGCTCTACTTTCTTCCCTTTTTGTCCTATTTTTTACCATAAGAACATATATATATATATATATATATATTGTATTATATAATTCTCATATGCTTATCACGTAAGACACTTTTTGTCTTTTTTTTTACCATAAGAACATATATATATATATATATATATATTGTATTATATAATTCTCATATGCTTATCACGTAAGACAAAGTGTATTGGTAAAAAACATAAATTCTTTTCCTCTCTTACCTTCATTTCGTAGTCACATTTTTTGTCACATTACTAGATTTTGCTAAAGATTTAAAAATGAAGTTACAAAAGAGAAACATTGACACTTGTGTAGGGATCAAAATGGGATTTGAGTAAAAGTGAAAATGGTTGACTGTCACGATTTCATGTGTAGGGACCAAAGTGAAATTTGACCAAAAGTGCAGGGGATTAACTGTCATGATCTCATGTGTAGGGACCAAAGTGGGATTTGGTACAAAATGTAGGGATGCAAAGTGTAATTTACCCGATAAATAATGTTCATGTGAACTTTCACATTACAAATGCATGCTGATAAAATAACACATTGTTGTTTGCACTTATATGAATATTCCTGAATATGAATATTAATATTGATTAATAATGTGATGATCACAACACCATTTGCAATACGTTACAATGTGATAATTCACAACAAGCAATGACTCCAAACAATGTAAATATTCACACCATGTAATAATCATGCAAAAAAATGCAAAACTTATATAATAATCAGTAATATGTGAACATTCACAGTATAATAATCATGTAATCATCAGTCCACATTGCACATCATATAACTATCACATGCTTCTAATATTAAAGCTCGCATCACTAAATGCAAAACATTAAAATCTGATAATTCACAACAACAATGACTTCTGTGGATGTGAACGTTCACATTCACTGAAATACCCAACCAATAAACATACACACACCGATACACAATACCATATCAATCCATCTCGAAACAAAAAGTCAAATATAACTTTAATCAATTATTGAACAATCATGAACATACACAAACATTACTGAACGTGAATCCCTACCAAGTGCATACCTACATGTAATTGCAAAATAAAAAATGGTGTTAACTCTCATCCAACAATTCTGAACTTCAAAACCATAACAATGGAAGAAGAAAAAAAAGAGCTTTAAAACCGTAACAATGAAAGAAAATAGGGCTTCGAACCACAACAATGGAAGAAGATAGTATTCAAATGTTCTCCAACATTTGTACAACAATTCTGAACTTCAAAACCATAATAATGGAAGAAAATTGAGCTTCAAAACCGTAGCAATGGAAAAAAATAGAGTTTCAAACCACAACAATGGAAGAGAACAATATTCGAATGTTCTCTCACCACCAAGAAGTAAACGAAACTCCTACAAAAACCTATAATGGAAATTTATCCACTGATTCTTCCAATATCTTGGATCACCAAAACTACCAAAACGGAATTAAAAAAATAGGAAAACCGTATATATCTTATTGTGTATAATACATACTATCAAAATAGAACAAAGAGTATAATAGTCCCAAAAGAATTATATATTAGGGGGAAAAAAATGACCTCCTGAGATACAAATTTAAATATATAGAATTTGATAGAACACAACAAAACTTTGTGGGTTTATTAGACTATAAGTCCATTAGAAGAGATATATAAATAAACCTCTCTTTTGGTTTTCAGTTTTCCCAAAAAAAAAACAAAAGAAGCAAAATCTGACTGGCACCACGTCAATGTATACCCAAGAATCACGTCTTCTCATGCAAGTTCATCGGTTCAAGTCAGACCTTACAAATCTTAACATCATTACCAAAATACTTTGGGAATAAACATATAGTGTAAAATGGAAGTAACAAGATTAGTTAAAAACTTAGAAGTTCGTGCCTACTATACATTAGAACTGAGCTCAACATCTCATTTCCAAGGACATGATATTTGGGATAGGGTTGAAAAAATCTTAACAGTTGTATCCAATCACAAATTACACGAAAGTTGTTCATTTTTATGAAGATTTACCTATCATGGAGATGCACAGAAAAACAAAACAGACATCATATATCTCTTTTCTACTTAATCAAGAAACACGATCAAACGTTATTCTAGTACAGCAATGATTCAGAACACTAATTTTGGTACTCTAATGAAACACTAATGACATGATAAGGAGAAGAAAAAAAACAAACAAACAAACAAATCAAGATCAAAATATCACATCACGGTAGGTAAGACCTACTGCCAGTTCATTAAAGCTGACTTTAAGGCTCAAGAATTAAAACTTCAAGGCATTTTTCTACTCTAGTATGTCTCCATTTTTGTAAACCTTTTCCTCAAGCAAGGAAACCGACAATTTCCTTCACATTGTGGTCCTACTCTATGCTAGTTTTTCCTGCTTTGATAAAGAAGTATGGTGGGGACGACTTTTTCTTCTTCCATAGCGTTCTATCTCTTGCTAGCCTAAATTATATGTATTAAATTTCGTTGTATAAATTAATATAATTGAATGTTTTTAAATATAACAAGACTAAAATATTAAAAAATTACATTTCACTCATTTTTACTTTTTTATCTCTCGTCATTCAGCAATATTTATCTATAATTATCATATTATTTCTTACTTTTATTAGTATTATCATTCTTACAGTTGCAAAATTAACCTTTCCAATTTATTCCACCCCCAATATGACCAAAAGATTGATGACAATATTTATCACAAACATTCTTAATTGGTATCTGAAGTTCAGTAACATGGGAGTTGTTTGGAAATGGATGCTGCGGTTCAAATTATAGGAAATAAAATTTAAAAAATCTCAAGTTAATGAGAAGTGTTATATTTATCATAGAAATCAGCATTAGCCAATAAATTTGGTCCACGTGTCATTGACTTTAGATGGCCACACAAAAATTGTATAACGTGAGCATCATCAATTGACTCAATAATAATGTTATATCCACTAACTAGTGTACTGACTAGTGTATCAATTGATGATGTGACATAATTTAAATTATTTTTAATATTTGTAATTTGTATAATGAGTGAGGTCAATAATAATATTATAACTAATATTAATACATTAATTGATTCATATAACACCATCAATTGACTCAATAGTCGAACATCTTTTAATAGGCTTATCAAGTGGAGTTGGAACCCCCTCTCCAACCTAGCTGTCTTGCACATTTCATGATCTTTAATTACGACCAAATATATCCACAACAGTGGTTACTTAAGGGCTGGCACATACGTTTCATTATTTAGAATTCTTTCTAGTTGGTGATGATGAAACTATGTACTAATATCAATTAAAGCTTTGATGAGCTTAGCCCTCATAAAATGTGGTGTGCATTTTGAGACAAAGAAAGTGCATTCAAAATATAGGACTCTTTTTGTTTTGTCTGATTTGATTTGATTTGAATGATGATCACTCCTTGTTGGGAAAGTGAAAGTGAACATTGCATGGTTTGTCTCATAAGAATTTGAAACCAAAATATCCTAAATGTTTTTGGTTCACTAATAAATGCTCATTGAGTTGGCAATATATAAAGTGACTAGTCACTACAAGCCATGTGCAATGCACAAGAAGGATGAATCAACCTTTGTTACTATGAGAGAAAAATCTGTAGATTCCTTTTCCTTTTCCTTTTTTTCTGGGGGATGGCGAAACTACAAAGACAACTTTTATTTTTTGAATAAATTTTTTAATTTTTTATTTAGTACAATTTAAACCATTCTACTTGTCTTCCCACACACAAACAATAAGTAATTAACAATAAATAATTAGAATAATCAGTTAATTACATTAATACTGCATCAACTATTAGTGAGTATCACTTAACTTCTATATTTATAAATCCGTTTATATTGACTTCCAACTATAAAAATAATATAAATACACTCCTTTTAAGGAGGTGGTCTAAAGGGTATGAAAGTTGTACATTTTCATAATTGAAGAGGTCAAAATATAAGGGTGTATAGATGATGGAATAAATTAATATTTGCAAATAAACATACATTATTGTATACTATTTGGACTTTGTTTTTAGTTGAGAATATCTTAGTGTAATTAACCCTAAAATGATCATGTCTTGAACATTCAACAAAAATTAATTAAAGTAAAATAACCTTGAATAATTTAACATAACCCCAAAAAAAAAATATATATATATATATATATATTATTTTAAAAGAAAATGAGTCAATTATTTTAAAAGAATAAAATGAGTCAATTTTAGTTATATATGAGTTACAACTTACAACCAAACATATGAAATATGATTTGTAGTTTGGTAGTCGAGAAGTAAATGAAAGATGAATCTGATAGTTTAGTACTATAGGCTTTCCCTTTATAAACACACTCAATTACATGAAAATATGTTAATATAAATAAAATTTAATACAATATATACATAGATTCGAGTCTCAAGTTAATTTGATTTAAATATGGGCTAAGCCAAGAATCTACCCAATCATTAATGATTTTAATACCAAGAACCAAACCATTGTACCAAAAAAAACCTGAGTCAGCCCAACACATAGAGAGGCCAGGTTAGTTTGGTTCTCAAATTTTATTTTGTGCACCCTAATAGACCCAAACAATTTACTTTTCTCCCCAACAGATACTATATCCTTTCACTTTTAACCATATATACCTCAAAACATGATACTTGAAAGTGCACTAAAACATTAGATTTGTGCAAGAGAAGAAGATAGAAAAGAACAATGGAGTAAAAAAAAACAAAAAAAACAAAATTATCTTTTCCTTCAACTACTCTTATGACCATCCCTCTAAATTTTGAAATTACTGCAGCTCACAAGATCCACTAATATATATATATATATATATTGAAGGAAAAGAGTTATGAAACAAGAAAACCTACCAACACCAGCACTCTATTCATTCTATATATTAAAATATAACATATCATCTCAAAAACAAAAACAAAAACAAAATAATAATAATAATAATATCCGGAAACACCTCCCTAATGCAAAACACAAATGCCGAGATAATTATTGCTGGTTACACGCCATACGGTGCATAGTTGGCTCATCATTATCATCATTGTCTTCATCATCATAAGCCTCATGCAGTCGGTGCTGCTCCTTCCGCCTCATCTCTTCCTCCATGTTGACATCATGCAAAGTGGTCTCCTCACACTCATCCATCTCCATGTCCAATGACTGCTTGCTTGGCCTCGGTGGTAGAATTGCCTCTAAATCGCGGCACTTGTCAGGGGAAAGAAATCCGGATTCTGGGAAATCCACGTTGAAGTGGATGAAAAGCCGGCCCTTCATGAATGGCCTCTGGTGGTGTGGCATTCCCTCATCATTGATCGCCTTGGACTGACCTGTATTTGGAACAATAAAAATGAAATGAAATCACAGAAGTCACAGTTTCCATTGAAGAACAATCCACAAGGCTGAGTTTGATTATTAGAACAAAAGTGGTGGAAAGTAAAGGAAAGAGTAAAAAATGAAACATCTTTTTTAGTTTGTGTAGCATGAAAGTGGTGGGAAAAAAAAACACAGGAAAAGCAATAAAATTTAAATTTATTCATGCAAGGGTTACTTATAATTAATGGCAATTCCAGGAACACAATATGATCCACAAAAAGCAACGCATGGCTAAGATTAAACCCTAAGTATGGTGGGGTCCACATTCAAAATAAATTACAGCTTGTCAATACACACTGTTTTTATTGTGTTCTTAGAATTAGTGATAATTATAATTTCAATTCTCTGTTTCTTTATTGCGTAATAATTATAATTCCAAATCTCTCTTTTACTTGCAAAGTTTTTTTTCATCTTAATCAAATGCTTGCAAAAAAAAAAAAAAATTTCCTTTCCATTTCTTTTCATTCACTTCACATTTTTTACCACTTTCACTTTCCATCATGTTATTCTTTCTAATCAAACGAAGTAGGGGTGAGCATGGTCTGGCTTGGACCGGATTGGCGTAAAACCAGGACCAATCCATTATTTACGGTTTCTGAAAAATTGGAACCAATCAAATCCGTTTAAATCATGGAACCAATCCGAACCAATCTATTTAAATACGGATTAGATCGGTTTAGGACCACGGATTCACATAATTAAATAACAAAATATATATATATAACACTTTAATTTCATAAAAATATAAACATAGCGCTATATTAGTTCCACAATAGTAACATGTCTTTCTATAATAACGACATACTGTTCTAAAATTTAAACAACTATAAGAAAATTGGTTTCACCATAAGTATTTAGACCATTACAAATTAAAATTAAAAACTAGCAAACAAAAGTAATAAAAGAAGATATTATGCAGGTTTAGGTTTGAGTTTATGTTTTATATGGAATAAGAGAAGATACTATGAGGGTGGATGTATAATAAAAATATAGACTATTTGTATACGGTTCGGATCGGTTCCAATCCGGAACCGTGGAGTTTAATCCGGAACCAATCCGTGGACTACGGATTTTTAATTCTTTAATCCGGAACCAAACCACGGATTCAAAAAATCAATCCAAACCTATCGGATTGGACCATTTTTTACCACTTTCACTTTCCATCATGTTATTCTTTCTAATCAAACGAAGTCCGAGAGAGAGAGAGAGAGAGAGAGAGAGAGAGAGAAAAAAAAATCATGAAGCCATCTAGTATTTATTTACCTGGCTTGATGACCTCGCCGGGATTTGACTTAATAAGGAGCTGCCTGCCATCAAGATGAGTCAGGGCAAACTGAAAACCACAGAGAGCCTCCGTTAAACTGAGCGAGTGTTCAACATAGAGATCATCAAACTTCCGCTTGAACTTGGGATGCTCCTTTTGATGCAATACAAAAACAATGTCTCCCGGAATTGTATCAGGCTGATCATAAGGGATAACAGAAGCTCAGAAATTTCTTGCCATAATAAGATAATCACAAGAACAGAACACAATGTCAAACGAATTGAACTAGCATTTCATCACTCAGGAAGCTTCAAGCTACAAAATGCTTCTCAGCCACATAATAGAACACAAAACTGTTTCTCAAACCAGCATAAAAGACCACTTTTTAGAATTTGCAAATGATTTCATGAAATTTTCTGTAGCAGTTGGAATGTTGGATAGCATAGAAGGGTGTGTATTTGTATTCCAGTCCATATCAAATTAGTCCAGAACTCCAAGCAGTTCGTGTAGTGTAAAGACGAGAACACACTAAAATCAATTATGTGTGACAATCAAACTTTACTTACTGCCTCATCAGCTTCTCCCCTGAAGGAAATCTTCTGGGCATGCTGCATCCCTTTCTCAACATGCACCTCCAGCACTTTCTTTTCCGCCTTAACCTTGTTACCTTTACACTGCGGGCACCTATCCCTATCACTGATAACCTCTCCTGAAGCAATGACAGATTCCAACATTTTAATTAATATTACTAGCAAACGACATCCCATGTGCAACACATCCATTTTAAACCCCCCCC